TTTTTTTTTCATTTTTTTAAATATTATTAATTTTACAAATCTTGTAAAAATGTTAAAATACTAATTATTATAATAGTTTTTTTAGTTTTTTATTTTTTTTCTTTTGATTTTTTTAAAATCTATGCTTTTTATTAGTTCTTTTATAAGATTATTCTACTTATATTATAAACTTGACGGATTTATTTAAGTTAATTTTTTATGTTTTTATTTAATATTAAATTTATTAAAATTTAATTATATTATTTTTCGATATAATAAATCAACTGCATGATATCACACCGTAGCTATGGCTTTTGTGCCATTGAGGGCTTACACTGCTGCCGCTCTTGCTTCTGATAGAGATGAGAAGGCAGCAGCCTTCCCTAGTGTTTTTTATTTATTTAACATATATAAATTATATATACATCAAGCTTGTAAGTTTTCTAAATAATTAAATTCAGTCTCTGCTCTCGAATTCTTGTTTTCAGTTTTCTTTTTCCTTTTTTTTTTAATATAGAAAAATACACACACGCAAGCTCTCTCAGTCATTGTGGCATGGTCCCATCTATGAAAGCAACTTATTGAATGGTCTTCACATGAATATGGCGAGATCTATTTAATTTGCGTAAACGTTGTCTCGTAATATTCTCTCCTGTACTAAAAAAAACTAGGGTAAAAACCCCAGCTTCTTCATTGTTCTGCCACTTCTTCTTTTTTAATCTCATTTTTCCTTTTTCTTTCTTATTTTTTTTTACTTTTTTACTTTTAATTTTACCTTTTAATATTTTATTGATTTTAAAAATATCTTCATTATTTGTTATAATTTACTTTTTATAAGATTATACAATTTCAAACAAACATTATAATATATAATTGTTACTTAATCTTGCAAGCGTTTATTTTTATTATTATATCATTGTTTAAAAATATAAAATTGTTAAGTCTGGTCAACAAATGATATTGGTTAGCATTATAAACCCAGTCTAATATCGAAAATTCACAATCTGTGAAATTTTAGACTTATATTTAACTAAAAAAATTAACTCTTAATTAATTTAATTTTAAAAAATAAAATTATGAAAAAATATTAACTAAAAAAGCTTGCAAAATCCAAAAATATAGCAGCCAAAAGAATTAAGAAAAAATTTAATAGAAAAAAATTATGATGAAATTATAAAAAAAAAACAATCTCAAAAATTAGTCTAAATAAAAGAAATAGCAATACAATGAATGTGGGCTAAATTTAAAAAATTAAAAAATCATATGGGGTGAGATTAATTTTTTTTTTGTAAAATAGATTATTTATAGATAAAAAAATGATAAAAAATAAAATTAAAAAATATTTTTAATCCCATAACTTATTCAAAATATATATATAAAAAAATAGTACTTAAAATGACAGATACCAAATACGAAGGGTGAATATATTATAGGGGTTGAACTTTTTTTTTTACAGGAGTGACATAAAATTCAAGATGAGGAGAAAGAAAAAAAAAACAATTGTTGGTGCCAAACACCTAATACGTATTAGGAGAATGCACCATTGTATTACATTTAGGGTGATAAAACTTTTCAAACATCACCTCAGAAGGTGGTGTTTGGTAGCCCGATATTTCCATATTTGCTGTCCAAATAGCACAAAAGTAGTTCACACACAAAAAAACTTTTTTTAAATTATATTTAATAAATATAATTCATAAAAATGCTCTTGGATACCTTTAAAAATTACAATAAAATAATGCAAAATGATAAAAGGGTTCTTGGGTGAGAGTTATAGTAGTTTTATTTTTAAATACATCAAAATAATTATATTTTAAAATAAAATAAAATAAAAAACAAAAATATCCATGATAACAGGCATTACATTATTTTATTTTATATTTAAATTAGTGATATTACTGTAAAAAAAATATAATAACCAATTTAACTTTATATAATCTATAAAAAAAATAATTGTATTACAGTAAAAAGAACATAATGATTAGGGAAGAGCTATCATTACAGTGTTAAAATGAATAATAATCTTAGCCTTGTTTAAGACTTACTTTCCTATGAATTTTTATGAAGTATAAAGATGTCATCTCTCCAAGATATCAATCAAATGACATGACTTGAATCTGAATTCTCATACTGGAGTAACAGGTCTTTTCCACAGATTAAAGAACCCCTCGTGTAACATGCATTCTTTAATCAATGACTAGTTGCTTGCTAATAAGATTAGTTCATGATTAGTCTACTAATTCAATGGCAACGAAAGAATGAAAGAAAGGACCTCTGTTACTTCATCCAGCTGGGGCCAAAACTATATCCTCTTGCAAGAGCTGTCCCAATTGCCTCGGTAGCAGATAAATAGGCACAAAATACTGCAGTGTATTTTATCACAAATTGCAGCTCGTGGCCCCTTCATTTGTATTTAAGGCTCATAAGCTCCCTTAAAATCTCGTCCCATCTTTTTCCTCTATCTTCCCATCCTTCCCAGCTCTCCTTCTACGTCTGCAAAGCAAAGTGTCCCTGTTTCTTGCTTCAGTTGCTGTGGTCTCACTGTAACAGCCTTGCATGGAGGATCATAAAGATTGATGCAGCCAAGGATGACTTGCCGACGACTTGTTTGTGCTTCCATCAATATACGCATAATTAACAAGAGATGAATCCGTTGGCAGGTTGTTCTTGGCTACATTTTTCTTTCTGCTCCTCATGCCAGGCTTATGGTGATAATCCTGTGAACTTGCAAGGATCTCCTTCAAGATCACCGCTTCACTGATATGAAAAATCATATGGTAATGTAATGATATATCATCAACATGGAAACCTCCAGTTATTATCTTCTTAATCTCTTTCTGAATACATGTCAATCATGATTATCATATTAATATTGTCAGATAATTCCATATATGCAGACATGCCATTCACAGCTTCTTGCCTTCCTGATCGACACAAGTTAGCATTACCATGCATTGACACAAGAAAAGACTACATGAACTCTTTAATTAGCATTTAACAATTATATTTGTTCGGGTCAAAGCTCTCAAGAGATTTGCTTCGTGATTTAGTATACTATTTTTTAAAACCTCAATACATATGTTCACAGATACGTTATCTTCCTTCTTATCAACCACAGATCCCTAGGACAACTAGACTGTCAATTTTCAGTACTAAATATTTTAATGTATTGGAAGTTCAAATTTGTTCCTAATATTTAGTTTTAGTTTTGTTTGTGTTTTTGTTATCTTAATGGTTTGTTAGTCCATAGTTATAATGTCTAGAATTAATTAACACGATTAAACAAGAACTGTTTCTCCTATAAATTTACACTTTATCTCACTCAAAGTCCAAATAAGATGATTTTATATGATAGTCTTATTACTTTACCTCCTTCCTCTTAAAAACAAGCCCTTCTGATTCTCCGCAAGGAGAGAAGTTGCGTTTGGCCTCATCAGACGATACAAGGATGCTCAAAGGAACTACGCCTGCAAACAGTTGGATAGAGGTTGGATAAGAGAACAAAAACAAAAATGCCCCCCTACGTACAACACCCAGAAAAAAAACCCTCCCACATATTTTTGGGATTGGCACGACAGAGGTCAAAGGTAGAAAGTTTGCTAAAAGTTTTGGACAATAACATAGGTAGAGAAAAATAGTATCGTTTTAACATAATTGTATTTGAGAATATCATTTTTGTATATAACTACTATTTAAAAAAGCAATCATAATTGCTATTTGAAAAGGTAATCACATTTCAGAATATATTCTGTACACAACCATTATTGTTTAGTCATGTTTCAAGACAGTTTTTTTATGCAAATTAATTTATCTAAACAAAAACCAACCTAAAATTTTATAAAGATTCATTCCCAAAAAGTTAGGGTGGTATTAAGCCTTCTGATATTAAAAGCTGTTGTGGTTTCCTTCAAGAATTTGAATGCTAAGGAGAGAATTTTCAGACCTTCAGGCTCTGCTATCAATTTTAGGAAGTTGAGTCTTAGCTTATCTTCCTAGTTTCTATGGAAGAGTTTAAAACTGCTATATGGGAATGTGACGGAAATAAAGCTCCTGGTCCGGACGACATTAATTCTTTCTTTAATAAAAAAGCATGGGATTTCGTGGGTCTGGACATTCTTAACATGGTAGAAGATTTCTCCTTTTTGGGTTACCTACCAAAGGGTATAAGCAGCTCCTTCATAACACGTATCCAAAACTCGCAGGGGCTACATGTCTGAAAGATCTCAGACCTCCTAGTTTGATTGGCCGCTTATATAAAATCATAGCAAAGGTTTTGGCTGAACGGCTGAAGGGTGTGATGCCTGAGATTATTAGAGGGAACTAGAATGCCTTTATCAAAGGAAATCAACTTCTGGATAGTGTGTTTATAGCGAATAAAGTAATCAGCCATCTTAAGAGGAACAAGCTCCAAGGTTATGTTTATTTAGTTATGCTTTGTATGGGCTTCGAAAACAAACTGAGGGGTTGGATTAGGCAGTGCATCTCCACAGCCAGAGTATTGGCGGATTTTTAATGGAGAAAGGTTTGAGAAAAGGTGATCCTTCATCTCCTTTTCTGTTAAACATTGCAGAAGAGGACCTTAGTATGATTGAAGAGGGCTCTGATTTGGGTTCAGTGGAAGGTATATCTGGGGTCTGATGATTTCAGATTCTCGTGCCTTCAATTTGCTGACGACACACTTTTTTTCAGCTCAGAGAGTCTCTCTTCTGTTCAGAACATCAAGTGGGTGCTGCAATGCTTTGAATTAATTCAGGAATTGAAAGTCATTTTTTCCAAGAGCTCTATAACAGGGGTCGGTTTGGACAGTAGCCCCATAGCGGGCATGGCTAAGGTTTCGAGATGCAGGGTGGCAGGTTTCCCTCTTAAATATCTGAGACTGTCTATTGGAGCTTCCAGCTCTCATCACCATTCCATAGTCACAGAAGCAGTTCCATCGGTGGTTGGCAGCACCAGCAGCCCCTCTTTCCCTCGTCGCCAGAAACGACGAACACTCTCCGCCGTGAGCTAAGCCCTTTCGTCCTCATAGCCAGCGACAACACCACACAGCAGCAGCTTCCTGCCTCTTTCCTCTCCAATGCGAAAGAGAGGAATTTGAAGGTTTGTTATGGGCTTTTTCGTCAATTACTCATGAGAAATCTGATAAAAGAGATCCATTCAATGAAAAATCAAGATATTTTTAGTGGGTATTTGTTTTTTTCACTAAAATTCAGAGAGTATTTTACAATTTAGGCCAAAAGAAAGATGCGAGAGTGAAAGCAAAAGCATACGTTGCGTTCTCATTTTCTGATTTCCGACCAGTATTGGATGTGAGGCCGTGTTGTGGGCTTAATATGGGCCTTCCAACTACCGAGATGTAACCTGCTTAAGTTGATTATTGGTCTAACATGAAGCTAAAAATGATTTCGGCCCAACTTCCGATATTTGGAGTTTTGGAGGTTTTCCACTCTTGTTTACTTTGACCATTTAGAGAAGAAGGTAATTAAATTCAAGTTTCTCTATTGATTTCGGCCCATATAAGTGAATTTCAGGCCCAAAAAAAAAGAGTACCTTAAGATTTTCTTTTTAATTATGATTGTTTTTTTAAATTACATGATTTTAAAATAGATATACAATAAATATACCGAATTTTTCTCTGTGTCTGTGTTGTCATTCAATTTTTTTTGAAAAAAAACAAACTAAAAGCCATTAGTCAAATATTGTGGATCGTACGAGAATTCATTTTGGATTCACCTAATGTTCCATCTTTTTTTGTTCTTTGAATGTTTTCTTACTTCATTCATTATTTTTTAAATTTGATGATGTAATAATTGGTGATTGGAGTTAATAATCAGTTTGGTGATTGGAGTTCATTATTTCATCCAAACATTTCCATGAGTGTTATTAACGTATTTTTTTTCAGTTTTTTTTTTTGCATTTTTAAACTAATTTGGAGGTTTTTTGAGTTAGGAAATTGATTTTTAATGATTATAAAAGTATTTTTAGATGAAAATAAATTAAAAATAAATTCTGAAATAAAAAAATTACACAACCTTGATTCATCGGCTACCTTAATAGTGGTTAGGTTCTTGGTAGTACATACTGAGTCTCCTACTTTTTTATAAAAAAAAATAATTGCCGAGGCTTATTTTATAAAAAAAATAATTGCCAAGGCTTATAGGTTTAGGTTGACAGACACATGTAATTATATATTTTTTAAGGGTTTAGATGTATTAGGCTACCAAAACTTATATGACTAGTTTTATTTTTATTATTAAATGTAATTTCTTTAAAAGTGTGTATATATATAATAGAGTTTTATTTTATGTATTATTTTATTAAAATCTATTTAATTTTTACTTTATTCTCAAATAATTTTTATTTTTTTACAACCCATCATAATAGAGCAAATGTATTCTATTTTGTCGCTTTATTGTAGTTGCTGATTTTTATATAATTAAATTAAAGGTAGAATGAATAAATTAGTACAAAATAAAAAATATAGAAAATGATATAAGCTTATAACTTAATTATCTCTACTAAAAACTAAAAAAGAAAAAGGTTAAAGACTTTTATATATCCTTTATTTTTTATTCTATACTATTCTGTTTTATCTATTTTTTTTACTTCCAAACCATCTATATCAGTAACTTATAACTTATGTGGCATGTTGACACGTATTCAAATTCGGTTTTAGCTATTTTTTTTTCTTTTTTGGAGTAATGAAAAACAAAAACAACTATGGTTTAGCTTTAGCCATTAGTTTATTGCTCATCACAGTACAGCAAAATCAAGTATTTAACATAGAGTCTTCACATTAACAATACTAAATTAAATAGGATCTCCAGCTAAGAAATGGAAAACAAATAACTATTTTTATTTACAAGATGATTCCATCTTTTTTTTTTTTGGATTCGAAATGGAAAACAAATAACTATTTTTATTTTTTATCTTTTAGAAGATGATTCCATCTTTTTTTTTTTTTTGGATTTAGTTGACATTACTAAATTAAATAGAATAAATTGGTCACTTTATATTTTTGTTACATAGTGAAATTACTAATTTATCTGTAAAATAAAAAAAAAAAGCCTGGTTTATAGTGGCTTTTTGGTCTTTTAATTTTTTTTCAAAACGATTAAAATACTAAATTAATCTTAAAAAAAAAAAACTTATTGTCAATTTTTTTTTCATTATTGTTTTTTTTTAAATACTAAATTAATCTTAAAAAAAAAAAAACTTATTATCAATTTTTTTTTCATTATGGTTTTTTTTTTGTTATACTCATTTAGAATAAGGGGAAAATAAATATTTTAACAAACAAATCTTATAAAAAAAAATGGTTAAAGCATGTGAGTGAACACTACCTACGCCCTTCAAGCGGCACATATGATGACATCCTGCGACCAAAAACTACCAATCGCCTTGTCTTCAAAAGCTTCCAACGATGACACAATTCATGAGAATGCATGATGGCAATATTCATAGTGGTTCGGTGTAGGTAGATATTTTTTTTCCTTCTTTCATTTTCTCTCTCTTGATCCCAGGGTATATGCCCGACCAAATTCAATTGTTTCCTCTATTTATATTTATTTTGATTTTAATACTTTTTAAATTTTCCTCTATTTATATTTATTTTGATTTTAGTTTTTATTATTTTGATTTTAATACTTTTTAAAGTTTATTGTTATTTTAATTTTATACTTAAATTTTTTTTCATTTAATTTTTGTATCCGATTTTATACATACATACAAAAAACTGGAAAAATACTCTCTTTTTTTTTTAGTGTCGCTGGATAGGTGATAGAATACCAAAATAGTCATTTTTATTATCATTTTCAAGGGAAATGGCAGGAGATATTGATCCGGATGAGCTGGATTGGAACAAGACTGGTTTAGGGTCTTGGCTTTGTATAATGCTTTGGATGATTTTTAGGTATTCTTCTTCAGTTCTAGTAGAGATAAAGAGAGCTGCCGTTTGAGCCTTTCTGGCTAGAAACTTTGATTGAGGGTGATGATCAATGATGGGGGCTGTTTGATGTTTTTGTAACCATTCCGTAATAATTTCATTAAGTTACATCAAATATAGATTTTATTCTTTGATTGGTTCGAATTGTATTATGCATCAGAACATCACATTGCATATCCTTTTGTATCCATTAAACATGCATGTCCAGTCACATCTAGATCAAAAACACCTATATGGAACCTTATTAGCGGATCTACAATTGAGTCTGAACATCCACCGTTGAGAAATATCCAAATAACCCACAATATATATATATATAATCATTTTCTTAGTTTATATTTTTTTCAATTCAGTCTCTAATTATTTTCTTTCATCTAGTTTGTATACTAGATTTAGTCATCGTTATTTTGAATGCTATTTTTTGTTTATTTTTTATGCTTAAGAATTTTGTTTTGTTTTGTTTTTTTTCATGCCTAGCTTCTACAAGGTAATCTCGATCTAATGACCCGAATTACTAATTTAAATATTAGCTCAGGTTAAGTTCAATCCTTTCCTTTTAAGTGTTTTTTACAAATTAAGTATTTTTTTTTCAATTTCATTATTCATTAGTGGTTTATTGGTTCTTGAGATTCGTGTTACACTTTTTTCCATGGGTTTATTCCAAACTCATATCCTACATGGTAAGCTAGTTAAGTTAACCTAAGCAAACCTAGGTTTTTTTTTCTTGATATTTTTTTATGAATTTTTTTTTTCACCGTTATCCTTTGTCATTAAATTATAGGCCATTGAACTTTGTATTTGTTTTCTATGTCTTTTTTTTTTAAAATTTAATCTTTTTATTCCAATCTCATATTGTATGCAGTGAGTTAATCAAGTTAACTCTGATATTGTATGCAGTGAGTTAATCAAGTTAAACCAAGTTAACTCTGATTTGTTTTTTTTAATTTCATCATTTGACATTAGATTATTAGACCTTAATTTTTTTTTGTTGTGTTTTTTTTCTATAGGGTTATCTGATCTTATATCTTGGGTCGTGTGTTAATCAAGTTATCCGGGTTTGCTCATGTTATCATCGTTTGGACATTATTTTTTAACATTAAAAAAAATTGACATGGTCTACAATATAGTGTAAACCACCTATCTAGTAATAAAACTAAAACTAAGTGTTTGTGCCACTCGCATTAGACGCACATAAAATTTGGTCTGCGGGCACATGTTTTATACTGGCATACATAAAAAAATTGGTGTGTTAAAACCATAGTTATTAAACATAGTCATAGGGTTGACCCGACCAAGGAACAAAATCCTGGGTCACTCAGGTTGACCCAAGTCAACTTGAAAATTTTTTAAAAAAGTATATAAGATTTTAATATCTCACATAAAAAGGTTAAGAAACAATCTATGTGAATATTTACTATATAAATAATTTTCTTACATCAAAAAGTTAAGAAACATTATATATGAAAATAGGTTATATATATAGCTATCTCACATCGAAAAAGTTAAGAAATAATTCATGTATAAGTTATAAAAAAAATGAGGTTAAATATTTATAAATTAATTATATATTTTTATATTTATTAAAAAATAAAACAAAAGGTTAAATCTCACTTGAGTTTTGGGTTAACCTAATAAATTATCTGATTTTAACTAGGCTAATTTACAAGCTTCAATTTTACCTATTTAAAACTTGATCAAAACCTCAAATTAATCAAAATACTTAGATCTCAAATTAATATCCTGGATCGAGCCAAATTTCATAACAATGATAGGAGCGTGAAAAAAAAAATCATATGCCTAGTTAAGAATTATTTTTTTAACCGTGCTAATTTAATAAGAAATTTTACCAATTTCTGAAATTGTTGAAAAAAACTCTAATAGTAACAATACACAGAAAGATTGGTAAATAAAAAATGTAAAAAGAAAAGAGAGAGAAGAAACTCTATTATTCATCATATCAGGAACATAAAAAAGTGAGATTAATGCTTTATGTGAACATCTCCAAAACAGAAAAAAGTTATGATCATTTAATAATTTGACGAGAAACTTAAAAAAGCTTCCAAAAATAAATACGGGTTTGCAAAAATAGGCAAAATAGAAATAAGCCATGTACTTGATTGGTGCACCCACGAGACAACGTGGAGACAAAGGTAGTGAGATTCTTATACCCTCTCCTTGTACTCCCGGTCCACACCTTCTTTGTTAAGTTGTTTTGGAAAATGGAAATGGAGAAGAACAGTTTAGACACAGATGTTTTGCTTGTCCGGAAAAAAATAGAGATAGATCACAGCTCCTTCTGTTTTGATCTGAAAGAGAATTCTGAAAGACAGTACCTCCAAATATCACAAATGGATGGTTTCTCAATTTTGCTTCTTTCAAGTGGCATTTCATGCTTCTTAAAGGCATTTGATTGCTTTAGCTCCACTTCTTTTGAGCACCAAGAGGAGGGTTCTAACAGAGATAAAGAATTGAAGATCAACGGCAAGGTGTTTCCCTCCTAAACATTTCTTACCCCCAGTCCCCAATACGATCATGTTCTTTTAATTTGAATAACATTATTTTCTTTCTGCAGGTGTTTTGCTTCAGTGCTGGACAGGATCATCGTGGTCCTTTTTTAAAGGTAAAGCTACCATCTCTAATTAAGGTAGTTACAGAAATGTAAGAAGTATGATCTTCTTGTGTTGATCACCTACTTTATAATCGTGGGGTCTTTCTTGAGTTTTAGGTGAGCATAGACGTGAAAATGCATAAAAGCTATAGCATCTTTTCAGTAAATATTAGAAAAAAAACAATCATCTCCTCTTTCGCAACAATTGCTTACAGTGAAAAGGAGTCAAAATCCTCTGATGCTTTGTTTTGTCCCCTTTTATAACGTTTGCAATAACCCATGAAAACCTCTTAATTTATGTCTTTTTGTTTTTGTTTTGTCCCCTTTCATTGATAGAAGGAATTTGTTTTTGCCTTTTAGTTCTTGGTTAGACTCTAGTCAATGGTCTCCATCTGAAGAAAAAAAAGGTGGATAAAATAAGTGACACTACCACCTTGATGCTATAATTAGAATATGAAACTTATCATAATCACTCATAATTCAAAGAGAGAACGAGCTGCATATGTGTCTTCTTCCTCCAAAACTTTCAAATTTTAAATCTGCAATATGCTATCCTCGACAAAATAGATTACTTAGTGTTTCTAGCAACCCCTCCTGAGTTAAGCTGCCGTTGCCTCCAATCATACCTGAAACGATTCATACTCGAGCAGGGACTCTCCCGTAACAAGTAGTAGGTCTACACCTGTTGTGGTTGGTGGATATCGTTGTTGCCAATAACCGAAATCTAAGGCACCTCCTGGTAAAATTCTTCTAATGCAACAGAAGAGATAGCAACTGCATAAGCATATAGTACAAAATCTTAATGTTGTTCGTCCTGAAAGGTGCAAGTTATTGCCAAATCTCAGAATGTCAGATGTTGAATTACTGAACAACTTGAATGCTAAGAACCTTTTATGGAAGACTGACAACTTGGGAAGTGTCTATCACAGTTCTTTATGTGGATCTCATTTGGCTTATTGATATGTTAATTTATTCCATGAATTTGAATCATATACATTCTCTAGATATGCTCTGAATCTTTTTCCCCATTGCTTCCAATTCATAACATGCGTCCAAGCTTCAAGTTGCTGCTTCTCATTTTCTTTTCTTTTTTACTTTTACGTTGTATACGATAAGCACTTGCGTTCTCATTCTGTTTCAGTTTTACTGTCTTGAATCTAGAGTACCTCCTAAGTCCAGACCTTCCTTTTTTTATAAGTAGATAACAATGCACTCAAATTTACTACTTATTTGCTTTGTAAATCAAGGTGGTTTGACTTCAAGCTATACAAGCTAATTCTAACCACTGCATTCCATCATTCTTCCTCAAGAAGCTCAGACTTGATATCCATTATGTCTGTAACCTATAGCTCCATTTGTTTCCCTCACAATAACGAAAGAGATCTCAAGTCTTTCTGAGAATATTTTTGACTTATGAGCATATGTGCATATTCTCTGCCGTTTGTCATCAAGAAATAAATTGTAGGTAGCTCTAAGGAAAAGAAATTGAGGAAGAATTCTTCGATTTCTTATTCAGGCTTTGACCATCTACATCATTTTACTTCACATTCCATTTCCATTGGTGAAAATAGATGATAAAAATATTGAAATAAAATATTTTTAATCCATGGGAGAAGGTATCTTCGTTTAAAATGGATATGGTGGTGGGTAAGATCTCATTGTCTTCGTTTTTCAGTGGTCTAGAGTTGAACAAGTTAGAGAGTAATATAAATTATATATTAGACTTTATTTAACAACTTAAGCTATTGAATTAAGATGATTATTTGATATGGTATCAAAGCCTTGATGACCAAGTGATCACGAATTCAAATCTCATTATTTTTATTTATTTAATAAAAATTAAGCACAAGATAATATGAGTTTACGCAACTTTCAAACCCAAATAGCTTTTTAATAAAAATTAAGCACAAGATAATATAAGTTTACGCAACTTTCAAACCCTAGCTTTCACTTGAGGGAGTTTGTTAGAAAATAATATAAAATCATGTCTTGAAACATCACCTAATAGCTTAAGTTATGATTCTTTGATAGTGTTATAATCTTATTATGCATTCAACTCTTGAGTTTTGTGTTTTCTCATCAGTCTTAAAAGTGAAAAAATTATGTTTTATCTTTCTCTCTTTTTTTTTATTTGTTTTCTATTTTTTCTATCTTTAGATTGAAACAATGATTTGGTCCATTTCTCATTATTGTGTTTGGCAAAGATTTGTTTGCTAAATTGATACATGTATTAGACTAGTGAGTAATCATATTTAGTTTATCATAATAAGAGCATTCAAAATATCAAAAAGAAAAAGAAAAAGAAAACATATTCAAGGAAAACTCAGAGTGCATATAATTTTAAATCTATAAACATTCAAAAATAAAACTCATAATAGCATGTATATTAAGCATCTAATCGAACTTGCAATTGATATAAAATCAAAGTCCTAGCTTGCATACTAATAATAAAAATAATTATATTTAAATCAAAATAAAGAATAATAATTATAAAGCTTTTGTTGCTGTCAAAGATGAGTCCTTTGTCCTTGAAGTTTTATTGTTCTTCACTTGTGTAACTAGAATGTTTACAATATGTCTCACAAGATTCCAACAACACCATCTCGATTTAGATACACTTCTAAACAAGGTTTTTGAACCAAATATTATGTAACTCAAATATTTCTTAGTAAGATGAACTTAAGCTCTATATTTGGGAGGAAAATCAAAGCATAAAAGAGAAAAAAACACAAAAATATGAGGTGTAGAAGAGTATAAAACTTTGAAAAACATTGTTAGACACTCTTTCTTCACTTTATTATTTTTATAGTAGATTTTTAAAGCTAAAAAGTTGAATAATTAATTCTAATAATAATTATAATTAATTCTCACATTATCAACCTTTTATTAGCCACCATAAATAAAAAAAATTAAATCTAAACATAGTGGCCATGAATTTGTATTTTTTTAGTTGAGAAAATAGTTCAAAATTACAACAGAAGCTTTTGGAAGAGTTTTTTTAACATTCATGAGCTAAACTAGACAAAAAATGGGTTGAAAAAAATAGTTTTTCATGGACCAAGCCCAAATTCAAATTTCAGTTGGCCAAAAAAAAATCTTTTATGACTTAAAATATCATTTTACAATAAACCCAAATTCAGCCTAATGCCCAAGCACGAACGGGGCTGATGCAAGTGCGTGTGTGAGTTTAAACCCAAAATTTATTTTTTCTTATACCCCCCTATACAAGTTTTGTTGACCTTTGGGTCTAATTTTAACTCTTCAACCACTCATTATATAAACACAAAAAAAGTTTTCTTTCTTTCTTATGTGGGATAAAGTTTTTTTTAAAGAGTTTCGAGTTTTATCAAAACATGTCAAATAAAAGTTATTTGACATCAATATCTCATTCACCTATAATTTATTTAAAATATGTTGATGTTTCATATTAAAGAATGTATATTATAAATTAAATTCTAATAAAATTTTAACCTAAAAAAATGAGTGGCTACTTTTAATTTGGCCTTAAATGTGTTCATTAACCATGTTTTAATAAATTCTCTAACAATTCCCCACATGAATGAAGATTATCTATCCAGTTTGAAAATGACTCGAGAATTTATTAAGAGATATTAATTTGGTAAATCACTATATTGAGATATGTAGCTTTTAACTTTAAATGTTTTCTAGTGAAATACTATCAAATTTAAACGTCATTTAGGAGTGCACGTGAACCACACTTTTCCAAATTTTCAAAAAAAAATTCTTTTCAAAAAGCTTTAAGTTAAATTTTTGTTATCATTTTAATGTGTAAATGTCAAAAATAGAAAAATAATTATGAAAACTTATTATTTTGATATATTCTGAAGCAAAAATCACTTTGGAAAACAACATCTATCACACTTACAAACAAGCTCTTAGTCGCTAAATAATGAACGTAATATCTTCAACTATTTAATTTGTGTGAAAACCAAGATAATATTATTCATATAGTTCTCTAGCTAGAGATTTTTTTTGTTTCATTGTTGTATTTATTTTTTGCTCTAAACAACTCTTAGACTAATAAGTGCTTTAGAGAATTGCTAAGAATTTGTTCTTCTTTTTCTTTTCTATTCTTCCTATCATGTTTCTGATTTTAGTATCAATGAATAATTGCTACGCATATTTTCAACTCTGGCAATGGTAAATATTGCACAAGCCCAAAAAAATACAATATTTCTGACTCTAGTGTCAATGAATAATTTTACAAAAAATTGAATTTAAAAAAGCATTTTTCTGTGTCATTTTCTTTTTGTTTATCCTTTATTATTATTTACCCTTCTTAGACAGATATAAAAGAAACGTTGCATAAATTTTTTTGCCTTTAACAATAATGGTCTACAGATTGAGCATATAGCAAGAAAAAAAAACAAAATACAAAGAAAAAAATAAAAGAAAGTGCAAGGAGGCCACAAATAAATCCATCATGGTCCCAAATATTTCAGGAATTTTCTTATTTGAAAAGTGTTTTGTTTGGCCAAATATCAAAATAGAAGGACAATAAAGTATATGGAAAAGGCATAAGTATATGTTTTGTCAAACACATCCTTAGCAAACAACAAGCATAAGTATATGTTTTATCAAACACACTCTTAGCAAACAATAATTTGGACCGACTGGGCCTGAGGTCCAGACCCGACCCATTCTTTTTTTATTGGGCTGGATCTAGCCCAACCGTACAACCCAGCCAGCCTAATCACACGACCAAATGATTGATGTCTTCTCCTAAGTGCAGGAGTGTCGAAGTAATAAATAACCTGGCAAGACCGAGGTCAAATCACAGGGAGGTTAATTCTATAAATTATAGATAATAAGAATACAATAACAACAACAATAATAACAATAATAGTAGTAGTAGTATAGTAGTAGTAGTAGTAGTAGTAGTAGTAAAGAAGAAGAAGAAGATGAAAGAAGCAATAATAATAACAAATGTCAAGGTTAGAGGTTCCACTAATGGTATATCAAACAAGTATAGTATAAACTCTTATTATTGAATTGGAAACCACACACAAAGGAGGTTCCAATCGGATTATATATTGTTAACATGATTACATTAGTTATCTTATTCGATTAATGCTAATACTTGTAAATCTCGTCAAGCATTCATGATTATAACTTATGTTAACAACAAATCAAGTTCCTTTCATAGCACAAATGTAGGTTATACTATACGGTTAGGTTATAAAAGTACCAAGCATTTGTTGTACCAAGTGTTATACAACATAAATCTAGATTAGTCATTTAACAAGCAAATTATTAAAGAGTAAAAAAGATAACAAATACAAAACATGTTAGTATCAAACATTAAAGTCCATATTAAGTTTACATTATACTTATTCTTACACCATTAGTGTAACCTTTTCACCTTGACATAATAAACTTAGCTAGACAAGAAAAATAAATAAATAAAATAAGAACATAAATAAGATAAAAGTTAACTAAGTAAAGGAAATGAAAGGCATAAACTTAATATTAATGAAAGTAAAATATAAGCAATACAAAGAACACAAATAGAGAAAGCAAGAGCATAATCTTTATCTGATAACCAAGATGCCTAAATACATGGCAAATGCCTCCTTTTATAGGTTAAAATTGGAAACCATTAATTTGATGACTAATTGATGAGTGGGTAGTCAACTCTTAACTTGGTGACAATTTTTATCTTCTCTTGTTTGCCCAAATCGTCACTGATAACGTTAGAATTGGAACCACTTAAAAACATGAAAATTCTCGAAAATTATCTCTTCTTTCTAGGAAGAAAAAAAAGAGGTTATTTGGACTTCTAGAACTCCAGATGTGGGCCAAACGTTAAACAATGTTTAGGCTGTAGGACAGATTCAGACTTCTTCATTGTTACTATAATTTGGACTTGAAAATAGCCTTTTTAAATCTTAAGCTCCCATAAAAGTTGTAGGCTTATAAAGTAGACCTAAATCCAAGATCTACAACTCCAGATATGACACAATTACTGAACAGCGTTTAGGTTTGGACTGCACCAACATCTCTTTTCTAAGTTTGGCCATCTCTTTGTCCTTTTAATTTCAGTTCTTAAACTCGTCAATCAATCCTTTCATTTATGTGATAGGCCGACATTTAAAATGAATATTTACCAAAAATTAAAGGTATCTTATATTATTAGATATGTTACTATAAAACATGTTTTAGTTAAAGAGTTATTAATACTTTAAGTGCAAATTGATAATATAAAATCTTGATAAAAATACACTTTTAAGTAATTATCAAATCCTGTTACTGGTTCAAATCAGTAACCCGCACAAACAGCAAGCATGCGTGAATTAGTTCAACTGTGCACTACATAGTGTAAAAGAAATTATAATTACCTTCACACTATTTTTTTCCAACTTAAAAATGCAAAAACAGGGCAAGAAGAAGAAGACTTACCTGAGTTAAGACAAAGACGAAGACGATGGAGGACTGAATAACTAGCCTTTTTATATTTTTCTCTTCTTTTTGTCTTTTGTTGTCTTGATGGGTTCTGTCTCTCTATTTATTATGGTGTTTCTTTTTCTTTGTTCATCCCTCCCCTGTTATCTCTAAGTCTCTTTGTCTTTTTTCTCTTTTTTTTTTTTGTTTCTACCCATCTCTGCTCCTTTTTTTTTCAATCCTCTCTCCTTTTTTTGATCGTTGATTTTCTTGGTATCATAGGGATTTTCCATCTTAACTCAACCTACATCTCTCCTCTTGATAAGCATGGCTTGGGGAGTCAGTTTTCTGCTCGGACTCATATGCCAATAGTCCTGCTATGCCTGGACTGTTGGTGGTAGACTTTAGCCTGGATTCTAATAACGTGTTCGGGAGAAAGTATGCTTGGATTGGGGACTTTGGTATGCTAAACATGGCTTGTGTTGGGGGCAGCATTTTGTTTTTTCTTTACCGGTAGCTTCCTCTGTCTCTAGAGGAAGAAGACGATGGATGGGCGTGAAACGACCTTGTTTTAGAGTTAGGGTAGCTGTTTTTGAATTTGGCCCTTGATGTTTTGACATTTTTCAATTGAACCCCTAGACCAAATTGTAATTAAACCCCTGTATTGCGGCACCTTTTACACAACGATCCTTGGGCTTTAATTTCTTGTTATGTTGACCTAAAACAACCCTGAATTTTTAATATTTATTTAATTAAGCTCCTAATCTCATTAATTAAACTAATTCTAAGTTCAATTAAGTCCTCAAATTTATCCTTTTCTATCACAATTAGCTCCCAAACTTAGAATCCATTCTGATTAAATTCTCAATACTTTCAATTTGTGTTGTCTCGGCCTAAAACTTATATTTTTTTTCATTCATTTCATTTTTATGAATTTATGTTGTCAAAATTGGGTTACGACAAAGAGTATTATACTATACTCCATTTAATGTACCAATATATGAAAATCATTATGAGTCGGCTTACCTTCTATCATGCTATAACTAAAACTTACTTAATCAGATAAATAAGTAGGAAATGATAATTTTCTAATGCTACCAAGAATGTTATGACTATTTTCCCATTTAAACCTAAATCTTAGGATCTTCAATCAATTAGCTACAATTACTATCATTACACTTTTTTCTTTTCAATGGCTTTAAATATATTCCTATTGATGAATTATACACAAAAAATCTTAACAAACATTTGGTTAGTGGATCCGTAATATTTTTCTTTGAATTTACATAGTCAATGGAAATACTCATTTGAGAGAAAGTGTTTAACAATATCATATATATAATGTATCGGTCTAGACTTATCATTATACATACTATTTTGTGCCCTTTGAATTCTTGACTACCTATCACAATGGACACAAATAACTGGCAATAATTTTGGCTAACATGAAATATCCTCTATGAGATTTAAATTCATTTGGTCTGCTCTATAACTTTATCAAGAGCAATAAACTCTTATTTCATCGTGGATCTTGTGATACACATTTGTTTAGAGAATTTTCACGACACAGCCAGTTCACCAAGTGTGAAGATATATTCACTAGTGAATTTTGAATCTTTAGTGTCAGATATTCAATTATCACTATACACTTTAAATATTATAGGGTAACCAATATAGTATAACCTATAGTCTAAAGTGTATCTTAGATATTTCAGGATCCTTTATATTGCTATCCAATTATCAATACTTGGATTACTTATAAATCTACTTAGTTTGCTAACTTGGTAAGCAATATTTGGCCTTGTGTAGTTCATAATGTACATTAGGCTTATAATTAATTGAGAATATTTCAATTAGTTTATTCATTTATTTATATACTTTGACAAATATACACTTATATTAATTGGTATTTTGACTATGCGATTGTTATCTTTAGAAAATTTGTTGAGAATTTTCTCAACATAACAAGATTGAAATAATACCAATCTATCAAATGTCCTAAACTTTTTTATTTTTTGTATAACTTAATCATATGATCATAGGTACTTAAAATTAACATATCGTTCACATATAGATGTGTAATGACATAACCTTAAATGTTTTTTTCTCATAAACACATTTATCAATTTCGTTGATTTTGAACTCATTTGACCATATAACCTTGTCAAAATTTTCATGTCATTGTTTGACAAGCTTACAAACTTTTTTTTTTCTTATTCATTGACAACAACCCCTTTTTTATTTCTTTTAAGCTTAACTTCATCATCTTCTAATTGATGGTGATCAATTGAGCTAGCCTTAATCGTTCTTTTATGTGAATAACTTTCTTGTGTTTCATTTCATGGAAACACATCTTCCAAGAATATAGCAATTCTTAATTCCATAATAATATTATGATGAATATCTTCAACATTTAACTTGTGTACAAAGAATTGATATACACTACTATTGTATTTATATCTGATATTTACATAATTTACAATTTGAGGTCCAATCTTAAACTTTTTAGGATAAGGTATTGCTATATTTGTAAGACAACCCACACTTTTAGCTATTTGTAGGAAGATCTTTTACCTTGCTAAAATTCATATGAAGTCTTTTATAATTTTTTTATGGTGTACTTTGTTAAGTATGTAATTGAAAGTTATAATTGCCTCCCCCCATAAGTTCTATGGTGTTCCTGAACTTATCAATATGACACTCATAATTTCTTTTAATATTTAGTTCTTACATTTTACAATGTCATTTTATTATGGTGAATAAAAAATATTGGTTTGGTGAAGAATATCATTTTAGAAGCAGAATTCACCAAATAATACTTCATATTCTTTACCTTTATCACCAAATAATATCTTTTTATCTTTAGTTAAGTTTTTTTTTTTGTTTTATTCATGTATTGTTTAAACATTCTAAAAGCTTTATTTATGCCCCTAAACAATGGTTAACAGTGTCAGACTCGTCATTTTTTTTCTTTTTCTAAATTTATTATTATTTTTATCATTGATTAAAATGGTCATTACATTCACTTTAAATAGATCATCATAAAAATACCTTTTTTAATTTAAAAAACCATCTTAAAATCATTTTTTCATAATAATGAGTTAGGTACTAAGTTCTTTCTAATGTCAGCAACATACAGTACATTGTTGAGAGTGAGAAGGTTAAAAAGTTCTCATTTGATATCAAATGTGCCCATTAACTATTTTTTAACAAACTTTCCAATATAAATAGCACCATGCATGCAGGTTTCAGAAGCATTAACAAGTACAGACCGCAAGAGCATTGTCATTCCTTGCAGAAAGAACAAGAACAATGGTTTACAATTGTTTATGAGGACACTACAAGAGATTGATACAACTGCAAGAGTTCTTTTCCCTCCATATCAGGTTCTGGCATTTAATTTTTCATGTTTCATATTTGTGTTCAAAGTTGGTTTCTTTCGAGGGTAATAAGTAAAGGCTTTTTCTATTTTATAGCAGCAACAAATTTATATTCTGTCAGAACAGTCTGTGGAGCTTGAAAATGCCAAAACTAAATTTATAATGAGCCACAATGCTCAAAGCTCTTCAACATCACAATCAAATAAAGAGTTTGCTCGTTATGAAAGTAGTAGATATTGTGATTCAAAAATAATGAGAGTAGGCCAGAAGCAATTTTGCTTTGATCTTGGAAACAATGAGAAGGGTCATTTCTTGAAGATATCTGAGGTTCATTACTTACGACTGTTTATAATCTTTTATTTTCTATATTTTTATAAAAGAGGTGTGTTTATAGTAGTTTAAGGTTCAATATTGCAGGAAAGAGGTACATGTCGATCTTCTGTAATAATCCCCCTATCTCAACTGAAGCAGTTCAATGAAATGACGGGTCATTTCCTCGATATAACCAACGATTCATATTCAAGAGAAGGTCATTTGATTGGCAGAAATTTCAAAAAGTATAATCCTCCCCAAGTAAGCAAAAATCAAGTGTTGAATGCTGAGGATGAATCATATACGGTTCTACCTTATGAGAGTTAGTATGATGACTTTACTTTGTTTAAGCAAGTCATGTATAATAATACATATGTAGGTTTGAATTAAACATATTGTTTTACATTAAAAAATAAAACTATTATTATTGTAAACCATAACTTATGATGTCTTAAATTAGATTAACCCTCTAGTTTACTAAATGCATGTCAAAAAGCTAGAAAAGGTTAAAGAAAGAGAAGAAAAAAAGTTAAAGAAGAGAAAAAAGGGAGATAGGGAAGTTTGCTACATAATTCATCACCAATATTGACTACAATCTTAAAAAAATATATATATATGTATAAATAGCAAAATCCTAAAAAAATTAACTATTTGGTCAAAACCCCATTAAAACTTAATTGAAGCCTAAAATAAAATAATAGCAAATCTAATAACAAAACCCAACTAAAAGTTCAAATAACCTAAACTTAAAACCTAAGCTAAAGTCTAATTTCTCAACCAATAAAGAATGATTAGGCTAAACTCCATCATCGAAGATCACATGCATGTGTGAATTATGTTTTGAGTATGATGTCCCCATTAACTCTTTCAGGATTGAAAAAACTTAACTCCATAAAGTATAGCACCAGACGACTCTTATAAGACTTCTAAAGATTAAAATCAAGTTGTTGTAATGTCTCTCTTGAAATCCAAGTACAATATGAATATGATCATCTAGCTCATGAACTGGGATTTATTGAATTTTATGATCTCTTTTAAAAATAACTTGTGCATTTAAAGTAGCATTAATATGTGCTTTTTATGTCAATGATAAGTATAATGGAACATCGATTTCAAAAGAATAACCAGGGATATATTCTTATCTTTTATATAAAATGAGGTCCTTTTATGTTAAAAGTAGAGCTAACAATAAAGTTTGGTAGCAGTTTAATGATACAAATACTTGATTTAATCATTTATAATATTTTGAATGATCTAATACTACTTATAATTTATGATTGGTTGGTTTTTAGGGAACATTGTTCAGGTCTAAACTATATCATAAAATAATCTCAACTATTAAATGTATCATGATACTTCTGTAAATCAAATTAAAATTTATATGTTCATTACTTGCTTAAATTTTTTTTACAATCTAAACATTAAAATTATAAACTATACATTTAAAAAACTCATCTAACTTAGATATCCTAGCATGAAGAGCCACAAAAAGAAAATCTATAAGTGTCCTAGATTTGTAACTATGAACATTATATGAATGAGTGTGTGGAATTGAATGGAGAAATTATATTTGAAACCTCATTAGATGTGGTTTTAAAACAACTTAAAAAATTATAATTATCTTCATTTTCCTCTTAGATGTAAGTGGTAATGGATGATGGAGTTTAATATGATGCACAAAATTTATCAAGTTCTGGATTTCAAGCTTATGAAATAAAGAATTAGAAAGTTTAGAATGACAAATATCTAAAAAATCCTTTAACATCATATTTACCTCTTTAGACAATTATACTTGAGAGTTTCTTGAAACTTTATGTATAACTAGATTATTCCTTAAGCTCATCCTAAAAAAACCCTCTAATAAATTCTTAATCATGTTGTCATAATAACAACAACTAAAATTATGTGAGAGCATCTATTTTTTTATAAGCCTAATTTTAATCATGCTCTTATTACATCATCAATCTTCATTAATTATTATATATAGTCTCAAACTCTTATGTTGAAGGTTTTATATATATTATATAAAACATATTTTTAAAGACAACATTCTTTAATCTAGTGTTTAAGTTATTTATATAAAATGTCATGAATAATGAACATGTCAGATTGCTTAAAGCAAGACTTTTTGGAGGGTGGGGAGAGGGACAATAGATTCCAGTTGAACTATCAAGTGTTTTAAAGTTTATTTGGGAATACAATCTAATCCACGTATTAAAAAGTTTTAATTTTTTTATTAATTTGGACCAACCTCTATATTTGAGTATGTAAGTAAGTAGATAGACAAGTTTTTGCCGGCCTAAACTTTGGGTTGTATCCTAAAATAGTGCTCACATACATACAATTAAAAGATATATTCATATTATTATTAATTTGAAAAATAGTTTTTTTTCGTAGAATTAAAAACTATTACTTGAGGTAATGAGTTACTTCAACTTTAAAACTAAAAAAAAAAATTCAAAATGTGGATGTTTTACCATTGCACTACGTCTATTATTTCTATCCCAACGAAAGTGTTCTAAACAAAGGCCAATTTATATCATTGTTGGTTTCTTTTCTTACATTTTTTTTTAATTTTTGTTTTTAAATTTTTTAAAAATATATTTTAAGAAACTGAAAATAAAAGGAGTGGTAAAAGAATGAGCAACTGGAAACATCTATATAAAGGATAAAAATTAGTATGGTTAATGAAAAATAATTATATAAAAAAAAAAGGCAGCAGTACTTGATGGGCTCCGAAGTATTCATGATCTGAGTCTTAAATTCAAAAACAAAAAGACGAACTCCACAAATAAACTAGCGAAAAAAGGGTTAATGTATTTTATTTTATCTTTTATTCAATTTCTTCATCCATTTTATTATTAGTTTTTGATAGACGTGTCACACAAAAATTACACGTTAAAACTAGCAATTTCAAATAGTTTCCTTGTTCTATATTGTAACAATGAAAACAAGTCTTTCGTATCTCCAAACGGCTTCTCTTTGTCTATATAAATAGGATTAAATTTATTTTTTAAAATATTTTTTATTTAGAAATATTTTAAAATAATATTTTAAATTTTATTCTTGATATTAACCTATCAAAACAATTCAAAAATATTTAAACATTAATTTTTAAAAAAATAAAAAAAATCTTTTAAAAATAACATTGCTGCCACAAAAACAAGTTCTTGAAAACATTAGATGGGCAAATCACAATTTGCACATTGCAAAATTGGTTTAACAATGCAAAGTGTGCAATATCAACGATCAAATTATATGGTCCGATAAGAAAAGATTATTGATTATATTTTTCAACAAATTCCATTGGCAATCCAATCAGGAGCTTCGTGATGCTCAACACCTAAATTTGTGCAAATCATTCGAAGACATGCCTCCCACGAAAGCATTGTTCAATGTTCACCTAAAAAGGCTACTTCCAATAGATATTTTTATTATTCTTTTCATCATGCTTAGATTATTTAGATTATCATTCATATCATGATTTAACTTATTCAATTAGATACAATGAAAAATATAATTTTTTTCATGTAAGATTTATTCAAATTATTGTCAACTTTAATATCTTAAATTAGACTTTTTATATTCATGTATCGATGATACATACATCATAATTTTTTTAATCAAATCTTATTAATGGTAATGTATGTACTTTAATTGTTATCTAAACTTCACTATTTCATTATTTGATACAAATATTTAAAAAAATTTACACTAAATATAAAAAATAAAACTAATTTGCCTATAGATTACAAGAATATATCACCTAGAAATCAAACTCTTCTCATTAAAGCTAACCCATAAAATTCAAACATTTAAATCATGTATTCTAATAATTAAAAATTAGTCAGTATTTCAAATTCATTATCATCTAAAAATCATCAAGTACAAATCATGGAAAATTGGTTAAGAAATGCAAAAAAAAAAAAACAAAATTTCAATTAGCTAGACTTGACCCAATCAAGATTATAAACTTAAACCCTAGAAGATATTCCCTATAGTTCAAGAACTTCAAAACAAGTTTTCCCCACAATATTGAGATTCAAGAGAAATTAGATTCTAGAATCATTTTGTCAACACAACCTAAAATGTTATTCAAGAAGAATTTCAAATCAATAAAGAAAAATTAAGAAATGATTTCTATTCAATACAAAACACATAATTAAGAAATTAATTCTTCAAAACCTATAATTAAGAACAATGAAATCAAATTCAAACAAAATATTATGAAGATCTTACTAAGATACAAAATAATATCATATTCTTTACATGGTTAAGAAACTATAAGTATCAAACAAAACAAATAATATTCCATTCCTATTGATTGTTTTATACATTTTATTTTTTTAAATGATTTATTTCTCACAGAATTTCTTTTATGAATTGATTTTAAATCAACAAAATATATTTTGAAAAAAAATGTTTAAAATATTGCTTTGGAATAATTTTTTGCTAGATGGATATATTCCTCCATGTTATTGAAAAAGAATTTTACAATAAAGATACCAATCAAATTATTCCTCATTATTTCCCTTTAGGTTTTCATTATTTTCTAGGAAATATATTAAAAACAATGTAGTTTTATGACTTTATCTTGGTAAACGCCAACTATATTAAGATAAATCATAATCAAGACAAAAATAACCCTCAAAAAATTAACTATTCAAAACTTAAAATACTAAATGTTAAGATTGAAACCAAAGTCCACATACTTCTAAAAAGTTTTTAAAAAGTTTTTAACTCCAAGTATACAATTATCTTCATAAGCAAATAGCAAAATTTAATGCCTTTTGTTTTAAAAATTATGATCATTATTAGTTCATTTGTCTTTATAAGAATTATTTAAAGAATCTTCTAACATGGTTTCATTAATATTTGGTGGCTATCCTATGCTTTAGAAATAGAAAACCTTCCTAAGAAAGTCCTAAAGGGTCAAAAAATATTTACTTAATACATATCATCAACATCAATTTCTCTTTCTCTTCATTTTATATTCACTTTCAAAGTCTCTTTGATAAAATATGTTTTGATTATTTTATTTGTTATAATAGTAATGAATTAATTTGTTATGCTCCTGCTTTAATAAAAATCATTAAGGTTAATTGATGGTCATAATTCAAAAAAGAATAAGATTGTATATAAGTGATAACCACTTAATTACAATCCTAAAAACAACTACCATCATATTCATCCCCATCTCAAAAATATTATTTCATATTTATTACTTCTAAAAGAAATATCCAAGAAGACCTAGGACCAACAAGCTTAAAATCCAAGTACGAGAAAAAACTTCAAGAAGCTCTCTCTTGGACCAACAAGCTTAAAATCCAAGTACGAGGAGAAAAAACTTCAAGAAGCTCTCTCTCTATCAAACCTTAAGTTCTGATGATGAAGACCATAAACCAACTAATGAAGACATGATTATGGTCTTGATATCATATGAAAACTTTATAATCAATAAAAGAATGTTTTCTATGAAAAAGTATTCAAGAACATTATCTTTGATGTCATTATTTACTTTTTTAGCTTAAAATGCTCAAAATATTATCCCTTACATCATCATCATTTGCCAACTCAAAGTGCTCAAAACATCATCCCTCGTGTTATTATCACCTTCCATCTCAAAATGATTAAAATGTCATCCATGATGATTGATTAGAACCAATTCAATTAAAAGTATAGCAAAAATCTTACCTTGTAATATTATGTGCTCACTTTACTCACTATCATCTTGTAATATTTGAATCAATAAAAATATATATTTTATATAAGTTTATGTTATATATTTATTTCACTACTATTCATTACCAATCCAAAAAATGAATGGTATTAGAGATTTGTTAATGTTAGGACTAAAAATGATGTAAAAGATCATAAAATTAGTTATTTTTTAAGAAAGAGTTTGTTGTTGAGCTGTTCTCTAGAAAAACAACTAACTATAATATTTTATTGGAGTAATTCTACAGTATTCCTAGCTATTAGGAAGTTGTTTATGTTGCTAGTTATTTTTTAAGAAAAATCAGAGTTAGTAAGATAGGTTGTTAGTTATAGGATTGTGATCCCTATTTATTTGTATTGTAAACTTTCTTCTTGAGTATTGTATTATTTATATAAGATCAAACTCATTTAAATAAATAGTAGCAAATTTCTTAGAACATTCTGGATATGTTATTTATATAATTCTTATTTTGGAAATCTGCACTGACATATGGTATCAAGACTTGTAATCGTACAAGTGAAGAGAATTGTAAGGTGAGTGAAACACAAGAAAAGAGTAAAACATATAAGTGAAAATAATTGTGAGTTGGGTGAAACATGAGAGAAGAGTAAAAAAAAAATCTCTATGAAATTATAGAAACAATCACCAATGGCATCTTATAAACTATATACAACCTGCAATTTCATGCTTCGATGGTCATTATTACCATTAAAGTATGCTAATGGAAAAAATTTTGAGATCCAAATAGCATTGTCAACTTATAAAATTTAGCATTTTTGAAGGAAAAATATTAATGGATGCAACACAAAAAAAAAATTCATGGTAAATAAAAATTAGAAGACCTCAAGGAAAAGAATTACTTATTTCAAATTATAAATTGTTTAAGACTATTCTTTAAAATAATGCCTCTAAGTAAATATAGGACTTTATAAAAAAAAATATCAAGAAAAAATCAAAATGAAATGACAACACCTTTAAGCTCTTTCTAAATAGCTTGAAACTCTTCAAATAAAACCAAGTGGATCAATAAATTAATATTTCTCTTGAACATCAACTATAGCTACAAAATGAGACTTCATAAAGATCAATTGAAAGATGTTATAATGATAGATGATATTTTATGATTTATTACAATAAATTATAATTATGTTATTTGTTTAATTAAAATATCTAAAAATATTTATTTTTTTAGTTAATAAACTGTGCAATTCATTGTTTATTCATGAACAAGAAATTCAAGCCATAAACCAAGGCAAAGGTAAGAAAGTAAAGATGAAATTTATTATCCAAAAGAGAAAAAAAAAAAAGATTAAAACTCAACCTAGTAATCCAAAAATATAACACTTTTCAAATGACTTTAAAAGTTATTATAACAAACATCAAATTTAAAAGTAACTCGTAAGACTATATCACCACCTCAAAATGGTATACTAAAAAAACTATATATATTATTTTAAATATAAAATAATGCATGTTAAACAGTAGTGGAAAATTAATAACTTGCTAGTTAAAACAGTCAACTGGAGTGTTTATATACTAAAAATGTGCCCTATGAATACTTAAAAGATTATTATTGTTGGTTGACTTGGATTAGTAGTGGAAAATTAATAACTTGCTAGTTAAAGCAGTCAACTGGAGTGTTTATATATTAAAAATGTGCCCTATGAATATTTAAAAGATTATTATTGTTGGTTGATTTGGATTAGTTTTTATTTTTTTTGTTTAATTTTTTATTTTTATATTTAATTAATTAAGAATTAGTTTTTTTAGGTAAAAGGTTTTATTTTCAAATTATCATGATTGCTTTTCTTTTTTATTTTTATTTTGATTCACTAGCTATCTTTACCTCCTTTTTAATCTAACTAATATAAAACTAATTTATTTAACTTAGACAGATTTGTAACCAAATTGGTGAATTTTCTTCCTTCCTTCCTTAAAGCACCTTAACATTATTTGTAAGAACGAAATAATTTGGCCCTCGGCGGCGCAAAGGTCCATGCCTAGTGGGACAGCTAATCTTTGATGGGATATACCGTGCTGGACACCTGGATGGATGGAGGAGGAAGGAGCTTCGTGATGCTCAACACCTAAATTTGTGCAAATCATTCGAAGACAAGCCTCCCACGAAAGCATTGTTCGATGCTCGCTCATGTGCCGGGAATCAGGACACATGGCAAGAAGAGAGAGGAGCTCGATTATAGATCACTAAATTTCTGTACAAAATATGGAGGTGCCCCCACCGAGCATTTTGTGCTCGGTAAGTTAGGGCACGTCGGCAGAGAAGAGATGAGTTTAGGAATTCTTCAATCCCTAAAATCATCTTACTGATTCATACAAGTTTATCCCCACAGAGATTAGTGTGCGCAATAATAGAGGACACCCTAGTACATTCACACGTTATTCGCTGCGTGTGAGCTAGATTTTATCTACTAGATTTTATTTTATAGATGTAAAGATAATTTAAATAACTGTTAAAAATATAAGTTAATTTTTAAAAAAATATTATTTTTAAAACTACATAAGAACCAATCTCACTTAAATTAATCGATTTGATAGATTTAAATAACTTAAATAACTGATAAAAAAAAATTAATTTAAAAAAAAAACTTTAAAATGATAATTTTTAAAAAACAATATTAAAATAATAATATATTGTATTCATTTTAATTATAAAACTAAATTTTTAATTAACTCAACATCTAAGAATAAGATTAATTAAAATAATTTTAAAACAAATAATTAGACTTGTTAGACCTGTAAATTGCATCAATCGGCCAAATATATAAATAGCAATTTTATAAAATTTAATAATATAATTTTTTAAATTACATGAGAAAAAAATAAATAATAAAAATATTAATATACAATTAAAAAAAATATCCAATCAAACATGCAAATTAAAGCAATATAGATTACCTTAACAAGTTTGCAAATCATACTAACTCTATATAAAAGTAAAAAAATATATATATATATATATAAACTTAATTTTTAATTATTTTTATATTAAAAAATTAAATTAAAAAAATCACAATAAAAAAACATTTTAAATTATTATTATGATTCAAGTTGCAATGGATATAGATAAATACTAATTTTATTTTGTTAATTAATGGGGATACGAGAGAGGAGGGGGGGCTTGAGGCATTAGATATTTCGAAAAATTGCTTGCAAGTTGTGTCGAGATAAAGATTAAGGAGAGCATTGCCTCGCCCCACAAAGAGCATAATGCGTGTGTAAAATGAGTTGGGCCACGTGGATCCACCTCATGCACCCGCAATCTTATCCATTTCAAGTTACTTTTATATTACTTTTAGTCAAGTCCCAGCATCTTCTCATGCGCTCCAGCGATCCCCACTTTATGCGCTTGCTTGGAACCTTTTATCTGGATATGCCCTCTCTGACATCACCCTGCAGTTCAGACAGTTTCTCCCTTTTTTATTTTAAAAGTATTTTTTAAAAAATTAGAATCTTTTTATTCTTTTATATATTAATATCAAAAATAAAAAAAAATATTAATTCATTCTTAAATAAAAAATATTTTAAAAAATAAATATTACTATAATATAAAAGGTGTAACTAAGTATTATTTTTAATAAAAATATTTTTTGATTTTATTCAAATAATTAAATCTTTTTTAATATTTTTTGGTCTTCTAAAATAAATTTTATTTTTTTTCTAATGTAAATAAAAATAATAACTTATAGGGATAAATTAATAAAAATCTGGCAAAAAATTTAAAGAACTTTTCTTGGATATTTTTTGGAATTTTCTAATATTATTCTCAATTCTTTAATTTTTTTTTATTAAATAGAACTAATTAGAAGCTAACATCCTTACCCCTCCCCTTAAAAAGTTAAAATTGAGGAAAAAATAGATTAATTATAGATACATGGCCTCTGTTACGTGGCGGATATGAATATTTTTTCATACCAGATGGCCTGGCCTGGCCTGGCCTCTGTTACGTGGCGGATGGTGGCGGATATGAATATTTTTTCATACCAGATGGCCTAGCCTCTTGCGTCATTACTGGTTAGATTATATTTTTGAGTAATTTTTATTTGAAAATATATTAAAATAACATTTTTATTTTTAATATTAACAAGTTAAAATAATTTAAAAATATATTAAATTTAATTTTACAAATTACAATCACAAAGATCACTCTTAAGGCTCATAATAGCAGAGGCTAGGATCCAAAAAAATAAATCCAAAACCCTGCGCAACTCCATGACATACATACAGCATGCCCTGAGCTTGTTCATATCTAATACTGATACAAAATGAAAGTAGTGCAGGCTGTACAAGGAGAGTAGGGAGGACACTGATGGCTGACCACACCACATCATCTCCCAGAAATGACTAGGGTTTTCTCCTCTGAGTCTTGAGCGGACTTCAAGCTTGTTATAGGAAGAGGAAGAGGAAGAGGAAGAGGAGGCCGGCCTCCGTCTGAATGGGATGTGGCTGTTGCTGGTACTACCTCTTCCTCTGCAGGGACTGGTGCAGGTTGAACTTTTTTGGTTGTATAGGTGAAGGAGAGGTCTTTGTTAGCAGCCAGAGCAGCAAGCTCTTTTTCCTCCAGCCCTTTTGTTGGCCCAAGGCTGCATCGGTCTGGTGTGTGCTTGGCCAATGCATCTTTGAATTTCTTGATCTGAAATAGCACCAAAACAGAGACCATCATTATAGAAACAATCAACGAGACTGACAAAGCATGCATAATATACTGTATGGTTAATGCTATGTTGAAGTAAATTAAAAGGAATCCATTAATCTGGTCCGGTAAAAAATGGGTTTGTGAAGCAACATCTTCCTCGGAAAAAGAACCAGATGATTTCGATTAAAAAGTGAAATCGAGTGAGTTGAAGAATCTTGGATCTCGCAAACATAAGCAGAAAAATGTTTTATTTCAAGAATCAATCAAGCTATGCTTTTTCCTTCTTTCATGTGTTGAAGCTCTTACTTACTATACAGAAAACGGAGAAACTGAAACAGATTGGCATGTTCATAATAGAAACAATTATAAAACTCACTTCAACTATTGCAGTTAATCAACAAAAGTTAATAATAGTGGACTAACCGTGGCATTAGTACAGCTAAAGCTGCATAACCGGCCATGAGCCCCTCGATATAACCGGAAGAAAGGTAAAACATGGACATTGAGGCTGTAACACATGGATTTGTGCTCCTCATAATTCACTTGAAGAAACTGTACATCTGGGTTCATCTCTGCCAATTGACATAACTGCCAAAAAAACATGATATCCATCAGCAATCTCTCAGAAAAATAACTAACCTATTCACATTCACATGCACCACATCTATATCCAAATCGTTATGCATATCATACCTTGGGATGGAGAGCTTTACAGCCACCACATCCAGGGGAGAAGAAATCAACGACAACAAGTTTGTCCCCGGCATTCATTAGGGAATCCACAAGATCTTGTGCAGAAGTCACCTCTCTCACGTTGGGTTGCAGACCTTTCTCCCACCATTTTTGAGCATATTTAAGTCTAAGGCCAGTCTGTCAATTCCACAAAAGGAAAACCCGATAAATATTTATCCATCCTGGTAATAATAACATGACAAAAAATAGAATAAAATAAAACTTCGATCTTCCACAATATATAAAATCTCATAATTCTTTTATTTATTATAATATCAAGCAGGATAAAAATCAAGGCTTCAACCCGCAACAAAATTAAACAAAAGAGATTAAAAAACAATCTCATTAAACAAGAAATTCAAAATAGAGTCTATAAATCAAAGTCATACAGATTTGACCAACCTGGGCCACAGCCGAAGCTTGAGGAAGATACCCTCTTCTGGGTTTGCTTTGATTTCCTAGAACAGCAACCCTCTTGCCATAAAAATCACTGCAAGAAGAAGATCTTGTAATTTGTGATCTCAAAGCCTGTGGTTTGGCCTTCAAAGGGAACCCTTTAAGCTTACAACTTTTTGCAAACACAGAAATACTATTTTGTTGTTGGTTTTGATAATTACCAACATTAGAAGAAAAAAATAGACTTGTTTTGCTCAAAACATCCACCATAATTTCTTACAACAACTTAGGAAAAACAAAGACACAAACTTTGTTTCTAAAGACAGAATTTAGAGACAAATGGAGAAATATATTGATTCCCAGCTCTAACAAAACAATAAAGAAAGGCTTGTGCTTTCTCTCTTATAGATAAGAGTCTCTCTTCTCTCTCTCTCTCTCTCTCTCTCTGCTTTTTGAATTCGGAAGTGTTGAAAATTGAAGCTGGTGGTGGGATATTTGGGCCGTTGGATTTTGCTATGGATGATTGATGGGACTTCAGTCTAACGGTTGAAATTATTTAGCGAAAAATGTGAAAATCAATGGATAAGGTCTTTATTGTGCAGTTTAAGTCTTAAGATTTATTTTTCATGTTCGCCGGTTTTTATGGTTGATAATTGATACTAGGTGCGGTGAGTTGTATACTTCTGACACGTGGCGTCATCTAACCTACGACTTCTTTTGGAAGTTGGATTTGGATGGATGGATTTGCGCTTTGGATGAAAAGGAAGCATCTCTTTTATTTATCTTTTTTTGTCGTTTCTGGGTTATTAACAAAAACTGGAAAAAAATACGATAAAAATAATTGAGAATTAAAATAATAAAATTACTATTTTATCTTTCTAAAAAAATGTAACCAGGGGTAATTCGATTTTTACATGGTTGAATAGTTATTATAGAATTTAGTTTGTATCTAGGTCTTTTCTTTTCTTTTTCACAATATAATTACATAAATATTTTGAAAAATAAAAAATTATTTAACTTTAAACTAATTTTTTATATTTCTCTTTTCAAGTCACAATAAAATAACTCTATTGCATTTAAAATCAAAATTTCCTTATCTTGTCTTCAGGGGCTTTTTCATACTTTTATAATTATAGTGTAGTCTTAGGAGCATATTGGTATTTTTATAAATATATAAAAAACAATGGTTGTTGCGTGCGTTGAATGTGCGAGTAAGTAAATCGTTCATAGTGTTTAAATGATGCGTGTAGCGAATTACAACGGCCAAAAACAGGCATCCTTTGTGTTTTATGATTTGTCATGATGGGGCCTACCTCCACAGATGGCATGCGTGATTAGTTCCTCCCAAGTTGACACCTATTTCTTTTCTTGTTTTTCCCTTCTTTTCTTTTTTTTCTCTTTAATTTCCACACCAGAATTTTTAAAATTTCACAGCAATCTTTTAATTTGTTGTTCTTTTGAATTTCATCAATATTCTTTTAATTTATATTTTTTATTTAAATTATTTAAAAATTAAAATTTAATTTTAATTTTATTTTCCTTTAATTTTTTAATATGTCATATTTATAAAATTAAAATTTATTTTTAATTTTATTTTCCTTTAATTTTTTGATATGTCATATTTAGTCTCTATTTTTTTTTTATTGCTATTTATTTTATTTGAGATTATTTTTAAAATTATTTTTTTTACGATTTCATCCTTCTTTATTTTTTTATTTCTATGTTTTTTACTTTAATAAATTTCTTAAATTAATATTTTTTTAATTTTATTATTCAATATTACATTGGGTTTTTTGATTGAGTTCAAGTCTATAATTTAACAGTTTATAAATTTAAAAAATTAACTCATGTTTAAGAGATTCATTTGGGTTTTTTTTTTTAAGCTCATGTTTTTTCAGTTTTATCCTTCAATATTTGATTTAATTGTATATTGGGCTCTATTATTTTTTATTTGTTTTTTATAGAATTTTTCATTAATTTTAAAAATAACTCAGGATATCTCATGTGTTTTTATTTATCTTTCTTTGTTAAATTTAGATTTTTTTAAAAAAATAGTTTTGAATTTTAATTCATAGCTTAAATATAAGCATTGATGACGTTTCAAAATCCGAATAAGATTTTTTGATGATTGAATAATAAGTTTAATTAAATGTTCTTACTATTTGATCTTTTATCTAATAGTCCTCTTTTAGTGGATATACAGGACTCTAGGAAATAAGTGTTTTTGTAGAAAATAAATTTGCAAAACAAGGTTGCTTTTCTAATTTTTATATATAATAAATGTTCTATAAAAAAAAGTTTTATTGGCATCTTTAAACCCTACACTTGGCCTATAAAAGGTTTAATGTTTCAGTTGAGGCGCATGGCTTAAACCCAAAAGTTATTAGGTTGTTTGCTTAATATTAGGCCTAGATTGTGGGCCTAGAACTGGGCCTAGGCTGCAAGCCTGAGTTCAAAACTGTTTTCTTACTTATTTAAAGCTCGAGATATTGTTAAAATAGATTTGGACCAACAAAAAATTATTTGAAAAATAGTGGTAAATCATGGTATATCAAGCATGGTGTGCTCACTTCATAATATTTTTGTTTGCTTAAATGTATCTTTTTTATTTATTTTTTTAATTGAATATTTTGGCTTTTAAAATTATTTTTGCTTTTCAATTTCTAATTGATTAGAATTAAACTTTATTATTTTGTTTGGGTTTAGGTTCCATGGGGTAACCATGGTCTTATATCTCAAATCGTGGGGTTTGTGATTTAACCATGGTTGACCTAAGTCAAGTAATGTATAATTATCTAAATATTAAAAAAAAACATTTCAACCAATATATTATCATCTTAATATTTTAAAAGTATTTTATCTAATATGTATTGAATCTTTTATTTTCTAATATCGTTATAAAAAAAATTTTAAGTTTGGAAAAAAGTAGCTAACATGTAGCATAGTGCCGACCAAAAATTTAGTTTATTAACCTTATACAGTGGTTCCAAAATAGAAAGAAAGATGTTGGTGTTGAATAAGTATATGAGAAGATTTGATTGGAAAGGTGTTTTATCGTGTGAAATCTTTCTAGTTTATAATTTATATAGATAATTTTTATTCATTTCCATATAAAAAATTGGTTGTTGTTATTATGTAATGTAGAGATTATTAATTTGTGGATAGATGCATTGTATTTTTCTCCTTTTTTTATTTTTAAGATAAATTACTTTTTCTTTGTTAAATGAAGAATTAAAACTTTACTTCATCACCTCTAGTTTAATTTTCATTTGAGACTTGAGGCTACTGAGATATTGAAATATTTTTATAAGACTTATTAATTATTATTAAATTGATCAGGAAAAAAATATAAGGAAATGACTAACGTACCTTTGAAAATAAATTGGGATTTGGGGGCTTTTTAGTATTTTTCACATTAGTTTTTTTAATTGCTATTAAGTTATCCAAAGAAAAATTTAATATTTTAATAAATATAAAATATTATTAAAAAACAAAACATAATCAAATTACATGGCACTTCCTGATAGCCAAACACTAACTTTTGTCATGTCATTAAAAGTATTATTGGGTCTTTTTCCTATTAAGATTATGTGTGGTGGCTTTAGGGTGATGGTGCGATATTGGAGGTTCTTTTCATTTTTTCTTCTTTTTTTTTTATCTCAAGAATCGCTTTGGCCATGCTAAGTTTCACAGTTGTTTTTAAATTTTTTAAGATGTCAAATTCAATCTTTATTTTTTATATATTTTTGATTTATTTTTAATTTTATTATTTAATTCTAATCTGTGATATGCTATTTTTTTTAATTTAATCCTTTTTTATTGTTTTATTTTTCTAGTCTTTTTGTTAAATTATTTTTTCTTATCAATTTCACTTTTTAATAAAAAAATTGCTTTAATTTTTTATTTCAATTTTGATCCTTATTTTGATTATTTTTTTCTTGTTTGGGTTCTTTTGTTAAATTAATTTTTCTTTTTAATTTCACTCTTTAATAAAAAAATAAAATTTATTTTTATTTCAATTATAATCTTTAACATTTGATTAGTTTGGAATTAAGCTTTGTGGTTTTTACAGATAGAGTGCTTCCAATCAATAACTCAAGCCACGAGTTTGAAAAGTTAACGCGAGTGATTTTATTCTCTTTGTTTTCATATCAAGTTATTATGATCTCATGACTTGGCATACGAGTTGAACAAATTAATCCAAGTTGGTTTGATCCATATTATCTAAGTTATAAGTTTGTCATGTTAACTCATATTTAATTAAATTAATTTTCTTATTCTTTTTATTCAATTTTTCCTTTTATATTAGGAATTGAGTTATATTATTTGTTATTTTATTTTGAAATTCTGGTTATTATAGTTTTTTCTTTTAATTTGATCTATATATTATTTTTGTTTATTTTTTATTATCTAATTAAAATAAAATCAATCTATTTAACCTCATTGGATTTATAACTTGAGTTTTTTTTTTTCTTTTCATAATTTAAAACGTGTTTATGCCATTAAAACATTATTTTTTTATGAAAAACGAAAAAATCGAACCCCAAGCCGTATTGCGATTCCATAGCAAGTTGTTAATGTATGATCTTGGCTCTTAGTTTTTCTATTTTCTTATATTATTTAGGATCTTATTTCAAATTAATATTTTTTAATACCAACTATATCTACTGTTACAGCCAACAAATTACGACTACAATCACCATCACAGTGGTCGTTTTGACTTAAGGGCTAAGGCAAACGATGTGGGGTTTATAAATAAAAATTAAAAAGAAAAAGAAAAGGAAAAAGGAAGGGAAAGGAAAAGACAGGGCTACCAGGCTGCATCCCACCCCTGTCGGCAAATTGAACGCAGCCAGGATTATTCAAAAGAAAGATCGCAATCCTCCCTTTTGCTTTCAATCGAAGGAACCTGGCGAAGTGGATTCAGGAAAATATTTGACCACGTCGTCACAACACTATGGCTACAGAATTAAACTACTTGAGTGTCTGCCCGCTTTAACAGATATTTTTAAAATATGTTTTTAGTCAAGATCATCTTATCTTATTCATATAATTCTTATTTTAGCATTATCGAAAAAAATAATAATGATATTTATACAAATTATGATAACTTGAATTAAAGAGGAAAAATGTATTTTAAGATTAAAAACTCTCTTTCCTTATTCATGTTTTTTTTTGTATAGAAATATGTCTCTTTATTAGAACTATTGTTTTTTAAATAAATACTTACTAAGTTTAATTAACAAAAATCATCAACGAATCATTTTTACGTACTTGTATGAATAAAGATGTGAATAATAAACATGAGATAAATATTCCATTCTTATTAAATACTAATGATCAATTTTTATAAAATTTTAATAATTGTTAATATTATTATTTAAAAGCTCTAATATTCTTGAAAACTATCACATAATTAATCAATTA